TTTAAAACTTTATTTTACGAATAAAAGTTTTTACTTTGTATGTCTGAAGAAAAGTTCAACAAACCACAAGAATATTATACCAGACATGTTTCCTCAAACACAGTCATATATATATATATATATGTATATATATATATATATATATATATATATATATATATATATATATATATATATATATATATATATATATATATATATTTCGACTCGGTACTTCGAGCCTTCTTCAGAATACTGAGATTAAAATTACATACTGCTTGATTACTATATACTATACTACTATATATTATACTACTATATATTATACTACTATATACTATACTACTATATACTATACTATATTATATATTTCGACTCGGTACTTCGAGCCTTCTTCAGAATACTGAGATTAAAATTACATACTGCTTGATTACTATATACTATACTACTATATATTATACTACTATATACTATACTATACTATATATATATATATATATATATATATATATATATATATATATATATATATATATATATATATATATATATATATATATATATATAGTATGGTATATAGTAGTATAATATATAGTAGTATAGTATATAGTGGTATAGTAGATAGTAATCAAACAGTTGAATATTATGTAAATAAATATATTATAATTTAATTAACAGTTAGACAGATATAAGGCCATAATTTTACGATACTGGTTGTTTAATAATAAGATCTGCTGAGTGATTGCACAGCAATATTTGATAAAGTTTAAATCAAGTCATAATACAGGATACAAGTTTTGATCATCTCGTTGCGCTGGATTGATAAATTGGAAGATTAGATAAAATTATTTTTTTCTTCCATGTTCTTTAGATATCAAGATTTCAGTAAACTTGAAACACGTTGGGCTGAACATTTTGCTATTATTCAGCATGCCAGCAGTTGTGGAATCTAGTCCGGAAATAACAGGTAATTCGAAACTTTAGTTCTTTTTACATATATTTTTTTTGAAAATAAAGAAATATTTATGTAGTTTACTCATATACCTGTTTTTTTGTTTAGGACCACAAAGAGAAGTGATTTCAATATACAATGATGATTTTACCACCCCGCCATCCACACCTCAATATTTCATCGAAGTTTATCGCTGTGTTAAACTTGACTTTGGCGAATGCTCTGGCACTGGACCGTCTACGTACCCGGTTCCAAAAACAACAGACGAAATTGAGATAGTGGTTCCGGATATAACTAACAAAGATCGGTCAGATAAAAAGAAGTTTTATAAATATATCGTTCATAATCACACGTCTTGTCAATGTGGGAACATAAAGTACAGGAATGGTAGACTGTATAAAACCATAACTAATAACGAAGGTTAGTCAAGCTTACACTGAGCAAATAGAGAGTTTGCTCATGACTTCACAGCCGCCATGTTGGTGTTTCAATGGACAATTTGCATTACAGACTAAATTTTGATCTCAACAAGTCTAGACAAAAATTTCATCACAGCTTGAAAGAGCATCACAAAATTAGTAATATTCCGAAGTTTCGTTGCGAAATGTTGTAAAATGCGGATAATATATCCCTGCGAAGTTTGCCGTTTTTCAGTCATTTTCTATTACAAATGGGAAATTGACAGCCCCAAAGGGTATTGGGCTGTCAATTTCCCCCCGCGTAATGCAAAATGACTCAGTGAAAAACGGCAAACTTCGCAAGGCTATATTATCCGCATTTTACAACATTTCGCAACGAAACTTTGGAATATTACTAATTGTGTGATGCTCTTTCAAGCTGTGATGAAATTTTTGTCTAGACTTGTTTAGATCAAAATTTAGTCTGCTGTATAATACAAATGGTCCATTCAATATTACTAATTGTGTGATGCTCTTTCATGCTGTGATGAAATTTTTGTCTAGACTTGTTTAGATCAAAATTTAGTCTGCTGTATAATACAAATGGTCCATTCAAAAGAATTTGAATTAGACTCTTTTGTCTGGAACAGCAACATGGCCGCCATGGCTTTTGTTGAGTAAATTGGTCCCTGGGGAATGAGTGAAAACGTTCTCATACCATGCATAATGTTACCTAAAATGAACATGTTTTGTGATTAACGTTCTTTTGTTCTTTAGAAAATTTCTTTTGTAATTTTTAATTATTGTTATAGTCATAAAACATGTTCCGATACTACAGGATGTCCCAAAAAACCCGAAAACTATTGAAATCACTTATGGTTAAAATTGAATGCCCTACCAAAAAGCTGAACGTAATGATGCGTAAAGTATTGACAAGGTGCATATATTAAAATTTAGTTAAGAACATCTCCTTGTAAAGTGCGCGATTTTCTGCTCTTGAGAATTTAAAGCAGCTTCTGAAATAGTTCCTTTATGCATAAAATTTACTTATGTCAATCATTTATGCACTCGTGGGAACCAACAGAGTGCTTAGGCATTCAAATTCTAACAATTAAATTGTTATTGGTGATTTCAATAGTTTTCGTTTATCAAAAAAAAGGAGACCTTTAGAAATCAAGCATATTGTTAAAATTTGAATGCCTTTTCAATTGCACATATGCTGAACCGTATTGCGTGAAATATTGATGGAGAGCATATATTAGAAAAAGGAGACCTCGATAACACATATAAAGCGCGTTTTCCACTCCTGACAAATTTGTTCGCGCGAAGCGTCTTTGTCGGCATCGCTCTTGCTGATGTGATGACCAATGCTGACAACGGATAAAGGAGCCGTGCGCGTGACAAATTCACCCCGGCGGTGGAGAATGGGCTGTGATTGGTTCCTTCCTGTACACGGAGGGATTTTCTCCGTGCATGATTTCTGCCCCGGAATTTTCTCTCCCATCAAAAAGTAACCATTCCACCTTAGCTGCACTCCATGGATGGCGAGAACGCGAGCCGCATTGGTTAGCCTTCGAGCCAGTGACGCTTCACATAATTCAGAGCTCAGCGGCAAGGAAAGGTGATTTTTACACATGAATTTTTCTTGCAGTGTCAGAGGCTTATTTCAAAGCAAAGTTTTCGAAAAATCCAGTCAACCTGATACGTTTGTGTAACGTTTGCAACAGTGCTCAACCAAGATACAAACTCCATCCAAAACATTTCAACGTTGTCTTGCCATATAAATATCTGGCGTACCAACAGTGCTTACCTGGCTGCGTAGTGGTAAGAAACGAAACGTCTAACAAGCAAACTTCCATGGTATTTGGTAGTCCCGTTAATATCCCGCTAACAAATGATATTTCATGCAAGGCTTATGACGGAGCTAAAACACAACAACAACATAAAAATAATCCAGAGAAGCTCAAAAGCTCATCCTCGGAACCTCCAGTTGGAAACTCGAGTGGTAAAGGTAAGAAATCAAGGCTCTGATTTCTACTATAGGCACGAATGATCCATCCGGATGATCTTCGGAGAAGAAAGGATAGTTTATCTGATAATTTAACTCCCGACAAACACCTGTCAAGACAATCTTCGCTGTTAGCAACCCAGACGATTGGTCAGATGGCGTATTAGAGAAGGGGCATAATAGAGTAGGTTTATTAGAGAGCGAAGCGTGTTAGAGAGGAAACTTAATAGGTAGGGAATAATCCATCTTGACGAATGAATCTCTTGTTTGCTGTATTTGTAGACAGATAAACGTTGCGACGAACTTTATTTTCTTTGCTCAAGTTCGTTAAGACCGAACATCTTTAATAAACTGAACTTCCAGCACAATTTATAAATCTAATCATTAGAAATACGTTTTTCGGTTATGTGGGCGGGGTCGAGGAAGCTTAAGAGAAACGAATCTGGCCAGATGGCGTATTAAAGAAGAGAGAGAAGATTATTAGAGAAGGAACTTAATAGAGAGGGCTTATTAGAGAGGAGGATCAATAGGGAAGGGGCCTATTAGACCGGGGGATTGATAGAGGGTATCAGAATTTACGCAACAGAGAATTGATAAATTAACATGAATTCTTTTATTTCTGTTTAGAGGCAAATTATGAGATTCTAGTTTACATTGCTTCAGGAAAAGTTACCCTCGCCGCATTTCTACTATCGTTGGTACTATTTACTATATTGATTATGGACTTCACTCTTTGCCGTCGAAAGAAAGGGTTTCTTTACGCTTTGCTTGGCTGTAAAAGTGATGACGCGAATCATTTTTGTACAGTGTAAAACATAAGTAAGTACGAAGACCTGGTGCACACATCGAACTTTTCTTGTGGCGAGCCAAGGAGCTGAAACAATGAGTTTAGGTGATTAACGTTAGCTTGGGCGCATGATTACACTTGCTTGGATAGGCCTATTGTAAACTAGAACCCTAGAACTCATGTAGGAATGTAAAAATCTAGTTAAAATCTTCATGTTTCGTGCATAAATATATTTCTCCTATTTGTAAGTAGTATAGCTTATATATTTTAGTTTATTATTGTAATAGAGATTTTTATTATTAATTGTAATAAAACTTTTTAATTAATTAATTAACTGATTATGTCATTAATTTAAGCCGTACGCTTTTAACGCCTATCTATGCCTGGCTCGGATGAATGATCAGCCACATCGCGTGCTCATGCAGGATTACACCAAACAAATTATACAGTATATAGATTTAACTGAATTCTTTGATTGTGTAATTAATTTTCTTGATTAAAGAATATTTTTTAAATCGTGAAATGTGTTTCTCAATTGACCATTTGCGTAATAGACTAAATTTTGAACTAAACAAGTCTAGACAAAAATTTCATCACAGCTTGAAGGAGCATCACAAAATTAGTAATATTCCAAAGTTTCGTTGCAAAACGTTGTAAAATGCGGAAAATATAGCCTTGTGAAATTTGCAATTTTCAGTCATTTTAGATTACAAACGGGAAATTGACAGCCTCGAAGGGTTTGGGGCTGTCAATTTCCCGTTTGTAATCTAAAATGACTGAAAATTGCAAATTTCACAAGGCTATATTTTCCGCATTTTACAACATTTTGCAACGAAACTTTGGAATATTACTAATTTTGTGATGCTCCTTCAAGCTGTGATGAAATTTTTGTCTAGACTGTTTAGTTCAAAATTTAGTCTATTACGCAAATGGTCAATTGTAATTACATATCAAGACATGCATGGAAAACCACACAGAAAATCATGCCGTGCATGAATGAAGGAGCTTGTACCTCTGATACTAAATAGCCTGCTCATTTACCAAAAACTCACAACTCACAAAATATTAAACAACAATATGGAATTGACATCATAGAACTGATAGACATGGCCTACGCCTTGCCCCCGTAACAAATCACATGTAATTGTTTTTTTAGCTGACAAATCTCCAGCGACGTCGCGAAGCCATCAACATTGGGGGGGGGGTGTCGTCATGTATTGACCAACATTTCCTGGGATTTTGACCAAGTTGTACAAATTTTTCCCGACATGTTGTCGACGGGGGGAGGTCAAAAAAAATTTTCCATACTAACATACTGTAAGCATATTCTAAATTTTTCGACCAAGATAAGCAAGGCTTCCAATTTTTTCACCGCAAATATAACAAAAGCTTTGAAAATTTTAAAATTGCGAACCATTTCATAACTTTGAGCACCTTCGACCATCTTTTATCCCAAACTTTGACCAAATTTTTCAGAGTTTTACTTTCAATTTTAAGCAAATATCAGTTTCATTTTGGGCACAAATCAGGCCATTTTGACCAACTTTGACCAACGTTTGAATTATTGGGGGGGGGGGGGGCGTTACCCCCCCTATAGTGACGTACGTCCCTGCAAATCACATGTACTTTTTTAAGGAATTTTTAAGGTTGTCAGTTTTAGAGGTACCCTCAACCATCTATTTGTGTAAATTTACTTGGAAAACTATATAAAAAATCGATAGCTTTTCTTCAAGAAGTTAATGTATATAGGAAGTCAGAGTTGACCGTATCCTGAATGAATATTTAAGAATTACATTCAAACTTTTGTGAATTAAATCCGAAACATGTTGTTTTGAATTGTACGAACATACATAGGCATATAAATATACATACAAATTTATCGTGCATCATATGCACGTTAGCCCCAACAAGAAGTTATTGATTTCCACGGGAGACGTGCGAACATACAGAATAAAAATACAAATAACAGATACAACTATAGGTATGAGAACATATAGAGAAACAGTTTTAATTACAAATAATCACGTTCTTTTATCAGTCTGTTGAAATAATTTAAAGTATTGGCATTTTTCATTAACGGGTAATTATTCTAACCTTCTATTGTTCAAATTCAAAAGATTTCTGTTTAGTTCCATCTGAGTGCTTGTATATGTAAGACAAAAGAAAATTTCGATTCGGTCGAAAAATTTCGCCTGGTGGAAAACCGCCTTTAAGGCGGTTTTCCACGAGGCGGAATTTTTCGACCGAAACGAAATTTCTCTTTGTCTTTTTACAATTAGTTCTGCTCGAGAGCTCTGAAACAAAGAGAAATTTCGATTCGGTCGAAAAATTTCGCCTAGTGGAAAACCGCCTTTAAGTCTAAATAAATGTATAAAATTTACTCTACATCTACGAAATTCTTCGACATTCTTCAGTCGAGTGTCGAGATGGCCGAAAATCGTATTTAAGTGAACACGTATTGTTAGATTAGTTAAATTGGATTAAATTTCATATTGATGATTGTCTAAGAAAAATAGTTATATAAAAAAGCACAAATTAGATGTTATCCTTGTACAGGATCATTTGTCTCTATTATATGCCACCGTGTGCAAGATCTATGGCTTGGCTCTGCAGTGAATGAGGTAGCACCAGGCGGTGGTTTCTGACGATTAATCCGCCATAGCAGCCGACAGACAGTTTATCCTTTACGTTAACGAACGGTTTCACTTCAGGAGTCGGAGCCATCTGTTGTGTGTGATTGCTTCAGAAAGCTTGCAAAGGACTGGGTCGCTAGCTGTTTCTCTCTTCACTTCGTGTAGTTTCATAGCTTTGCGTATGAGGTTGGTGCACAAATAGTTGATATAGGCGTCGGTGGTCATGTTGTCAGTGGGCGAAGAATCAACAGGGTTGGGGTGACGACTGAGAAAGTCGGCAGGGTTTTCTGCATCTTTTCCTGGGTTATAAACAACTTCGCAATCATATAGGGCATCCGTCTTAGTTTCCAGCAGTCGATTCTCGCCGAGGTCGGTTTCTGACTTTTGAAGATCCCGAGCGGCTTGTCGTTGGTGATGATAGTAAACTTAGCATCATAGAGGTAAAGATGGTAGTGTTGATTGAGTGTTCGATGGCCCATATAACGGCTCTCTTTCAGTTTGTGAATAGCGGGATTCTACACTGGAAAGTGCACGACTTGCATAACTGTTAACTCTGCCTTCTTGAGTAAGTGTTCCGAAAGGCTGGTATCAATGACGGTGGTTGGTTTCGAAGGGTCGAAATAAGCCATAACAGGATCATTCGTAAGCTCGTATTGGAGCTTCTTCCGGGCATTTTCTTGTTCAATAGACCTTTCCCCTTTTAAGTGAAATTTTGATCTCAACAAGTCTGGACAAAAAGTTCATCACAGCTTGAAAGAGCATCACAAAATTAGTAATATTCCAAAGTTTCGTCGCGAAATGTTGTAAAATGCGGATAATATGGCATTGCGAAGTTTGCCGTTTTTCAGTCATTTTGCATTACGCACGGGAAATTGATAATCAGTTTGATCATCTGATTATCAATTTCCCGTTTGTAAGGAACGGACCATTAGAAAAGTGATGGGGGGACAGGAAAAAAATCCATGCAAACAAAAAATGTTTGAAAAAAAATACATGCCGATGCAAACAAATTTGTTTAAAAAAAAATTAGAAACAGAACAACAATAGAACTTTCATTTTAAATGTACATCAGACAAAATTGATGAATTGAATAAATCTTTGGAAGTATTACGAAATATAAATATTAATAACTTACTGAATACTGACCGAGAGTGAGGGCAGTACGGGAAAATATCCAACCGAGGTCTTGCTGTATTGACCGAGCGATAACGAGGTCAATACAGCAAGACCGAGGTTGGATATTTTCCCGTACTGCCCGAACGGTTGAGGTCAGTAAGTTTTTTATTATATGGCATTGTACGTTTGTAAAAAATGGGTAAAAAAGGTCACGCGAGGGCAAAGTACAAAGTCCGAAACATTTGCAAAAAAGAACAATTGCAAAAAATGTTCTCAAGCTTGGTTAGTCTACAGCAATTTTTATATAGAATACTAACACAGTTGGATAGTATTTCAAGAAAAATACGAGGTATTTCGTCATTTAATCAAAGACAAAGACAACAAATATGAAAACAATAAGATTAATAAACAGTATGGACAAGTACGGTTTTAGTTCGCTTCATCTCATAAATATATCTCTTTTTATCGAAAAACCCCAGAAATTTTCAGGGGAAAAATATAAATCTGTGGCTGCTTTAGTTGTATTTTTTATTTAGGATGGTGTGAAATTCCTCGGCTATCTGCAAATAAGATTTGCAGCTCTTCACAAAGTCAAAACACAGCTATTCCTGACTTCTTTAATAGTTATAAACATTGTAAAATTTACCTTGTAATTTCGACTTTCGCTAACAAAAACATATTGAGAAAGTTCTTTATCCAAAGAAGGTGCTCCTTTTCTTTAGTTTAGGTTTATTTTTCTTCGTTTTGAATAGTTTTGAAAGACTTTTAGACACTTTTTGCCGTTTGAAACTCGGCTCTTGTCGCGGGGCAAAAAAATTGCGTATTGCCCGTGGGCAATACGGGAAAATCCTGCCTCGTCAGCAGCCAATCAAATTGCGCGATTCATCAAAACAAATGCTTGCCGTATAATAAATATATATATAAGGGGCGGACCATTAGAAATTCCGGGAGGGGGGGTGAAAATTCCCCCAAAAAAATTCGTGCATAGAAAAATGCCTGGAAAAAAAATTCGTGCAGCCATTACGTCAGAGAAAAAAAATTCGTGCAAGCAAACAGCAAAGTACAAGTAGTCTTGAAAAAAAATTCGTGCAGAGGTTAAATGCATTAAAAAAAATTCCTGGAGAGACATGAGACTGAAAAAAAAATTCGTGCCGCAAAAATTTTATACCCCCCCCCCCTCCCGGGATTTCTAATGGTCCGCCCCTAATATTAACAGTAACTCTTATATAGTTTTATTATATACTACGAAAATATTTTCTATTGTCTTTAATAATCCTCATTCACACTGCCACTGTCCTCGATCAGTGGCGTAACTATCGTGCACGATAATAGATAAGGAGGGTTGAGAAGAAATATTTTAACAAGCGGCGCGGTTACAAAGTTTGAAAAATTCAAATTTTAACGGTTTGGTTCCCGCACGGTTAATAGAACCGTGGTTCCAGAGCAGATCGACTCACGAGTGCGGAGAAAGTGCTTTTGTTTACATTAAGTTGTTCTAATTCTTCAAGGAAAAGCGAGGGAAAGGATTTTACAAGTTAGGAAGATTGAATAAACATAAATATGTGTAGCCGCTGCTTTAGAAGCGTTTGGCAATATTTTAACGGCGAGTTTTGTTGACATTTATGTCTCGCCCAAGTTCGCCCGGCGTTACAGCTACAATCACTTTCAAAAGTTGTTGGGACACATGCAGTTTTAAGACGTAAATCAATCTATACAGTTTGTTACACACAATACCGCACCCCTCCCCTCCCCCCTCCCCAATCAATGTTGTTTTCTCGATTCGAATACCAATACTCATCAAACTTGACGAACAATGGCACACAACATTGAATAGGGGGCGGGGGGGATCGACATTTGTTAAAATTAAAGTGTTTTGTTGCATCTGTCCCAACACATTTGAAACTGATTGTCTGAACCCCATATCCCATAACATTTAACATATCTCAAAAATATAGGTAACAGAATGGTCCAAGAATATAGTATTTTAGCTCCATTTTAAAGCATAAGATATGTAATAAAACATTTTAAAACAATGACGCTTCTTTGCAATTCAGAAAGTTAATAATTAACAGAATATGAATATATATTTTATTTCATATGTCATTTTTAATCACAAATATTTTATGTGTTGTTTGTTTTTACAAATCTTGCTAGAGTACAAGTGGGTTATTTGAGATGTTCTAATCTGTCAATAAAGACAGGTATCGCAACTGTTTTACGTTAGATATATCATACTTAGTGTTAGTTTACAGCATAGTAATATAGCATCCGGTTATTATTCGCAGGCGAGCAATGGCTGAGTCAACAGCTAACTCGGGTACCCCAAAGCTAAGGAGCGTTTATTTAATCACTTTTAGTCAATGTGACAGTTCACATCTTTCGCGAGCAGAATTTGCAAATAATTGTTGACGCATGGCATTCGCGCTCCAGGTCAAGGATCTGTCAGTGGGTGGTGAGTTTGGAGGCCCATGAAAATGGTCGTAGTCACTTCCACATGGCTATAAAATTGACGGCAACATCGAGGTGGCGAGCCATCCGAAAGTTAGTAGATACTAAATATGGCATCAAGTTGAACTTTTCAGATAGTCACGAAAATTATTATACAGCGTATTCGTACGTGGTAAAGGAAGACCCGGACTTCGTGCTTTCTCCAGGGCATCCAGACCTCTCCAATGCTGACCTGCCACCCACTACAAAGGTGACATCACAAAGAAAGAAAGCAGCAAAGGTTTCCAAAAAAAAGAAACGAAAGCGACTCGCCGTGTACGACGTTGTACGTATCGTACAAACAAAACAAATACAGTCTCGTCTGGAGCTTATGGCCCTGGCTGCGAAATGGCAAGAAGAGGGAAAAACAGACCTGGCAGAGTTTGTTGCCAACAGAGGTCCTAAAATTGTGAATGAGGCTATGGAAACAGCCAAGGAGCTAAACGAAGCGCAGGAAAGACTGAAAAGAGCAAACAAAACAAGAATTGAGTTATTGCAAGAGAGTGCGGCAAGCGCATGTGTTGATGGTTGCCAAGGGGTGTGGTTATCAGCTGCCAAAGAAATTTTAGTTTTAAATGGCATCGGTATACAAGATTTTTCATCTGCTCTTCATGATGCTTTAAAACGCGGCAGAGGAAAATACCGTAACGTATACATATATGGCCCTGCAAATTGTGGCAAAACCTTCCTTCTGTCTCCACTCAAAAAGATCTTCGAATGCTTCATACATCCGGAACTTTCGCGTGGCTTGGAATTGAGAACGCAGAGGGTAGTCTTGTTAATTAAACGACTTCCGCTGGAAGCCTTCACTAATACCCTGGTGTGAGTTGCTGCAAGTACTCGAGGGCGATACTGTTCATTTCCCTGCACCCAAAAATGTGATGAACAAGGACATTGTCCTAGATAAAGATACACCGTTCTTTGCAACAAGCGATGCCCCACTTGCACTTATCAAGGGTGGCTCGATTGACCGGATTAACACCGAAATGATGCAAGTTAGATGGCACACCTTTCAGTTGCATCGGCAAATACCTCAAAACGAACAGAAGGAGATTAAAGCATGTAATTCATGTTTTGCGAAACTTGTCATAAACAACACTGCTCATTAACTTAGGACAACACAATGTTAGCGATATGCGCTAGACGGCAATTATGCTAATAAGCTTTTGCGGATCAGACTATTGCAATCCAACTACCATCGGTTGACACATCGATTGTCACTTTAGCAATATGAAATAACAAGCAAATAAAAAAACTTTTAAAACAGACTAAGGCTGAGAATAATATGTTGACAATGTATAACATTGTGTTAGCTAGTTTTTAAATGGTTTAATTATATATAAAAGTGAGGAAACCCAGTTTTGGATCGATTGTCACTTTTTATATAAATATATTTGAGTATCATATAGTGATTTCTAGAGTTGAGTGTCAATCGATAACTTTTTACAATTTTTATATATTTTGTGATTAAGTAGAACCCGTAATATATTAATGCATGCTCCCTCGACACTTTTCCTTAATAATAAATGTTCCAAAAATTATTTTGCTGTAAAATGTTAAGGCTAAATCATTGCAAATGGTCTGTGAATAAAGTGACAATCGCGTGTCAGTCGAGCACATGTTCAAAGCATCTTATATTACATATATATATATATTTTATTATATCATATCGTCAATACTTTGTTCTGAATCCTTTACATTTAATCACATCATCAATGCGTTTGGGAATGCTTAATAAAAGATTGTTAATATAAGTAGGTGATATTTTGAGTATAGTTTTACGCACTCTTGCTTTAAATTCAGGCCACGTTTCTTGATATATGCACTCCGAGATAGCTTGACTCTCGCGCTGCTTTTTCACTATGTGGAATAAGTTCTCGATGGGATTAAGATCTGGCGAACGCGCAGGGATTTCAAATAATGTTGCATCAGAATCGTTTATAGCTTTCTTAGCCACTTTGCTTCTCTGTGAAGGGTCATTATCCATAACAAACCACTTTTGCTGATTTTCGGCTGTAAAGAGTGT